GCGCAGCTGAGATGTGCATCGCTTCAGCCTCATGTGGGCATAGGCTAAGAGTCTGTGCGAGTTTTCCGCTCTACTTGGAGGATCATGGGACTTAGTAAGTAAGGTTATAAGTCCCTTAATTGGGGCTATAAGTAAATATAAGGATAGTTACCTTAAATATAACCCTACCTACCAAGTCCCATGATCCTTTAAGTAGAGCTATGGATGTTAGGGGGCTTACCATGGTCTATGGCAGTTTCCCCATTTTCGAACTCCAAACGGCTCTTTAAGGATACTTCTCGGAAGCACTCATGGGTCTTCCAGGGACTGTGTGTGTACACATGTATGTATGCATATAATGTAATATACGAAAAATGTGTGTGTGTATATATATATATGTATTCATACATATAAACATATATATATATACATATACACATATATATATATATATATACGTATGTATATATATATATATATATATACCTATTTATATATATGTATACATATATATATATATATATATATATTTATTTATTTATTTATTTATTTATTTATTTATTTATTTATATTTATATTTATATTTATGTGTGTGGCACCTGAGCCCTAAGAACTGAAACCCCTTTCTGGGAGGTCGTCCTCATCCAGGGCATCCCAGAGAGGATCAAAGTGCAGCTGCACAAGGCCTGGACACCGATCCAACGGTTCCGGGCTGAAGGGTGTAGGTTTTAGGGCTTTAGTGTGTTAGGGCTGTTAGGGTCTAGAGCTTTAGCGTTTGGGGTTCGGGGTTTTAGGCTTTGTCAGGGTTTGAGGATGTAGTTATCTAAGAGCCCACAGTCCGATCATCTGCTGTGTCTAGGGTCTTCAGAGTGTTGCTTGTTAGGGCTCTAGGGTTGTGTGTAGAGCTTTGTGTGTGTGTGAGTCTTTCGGTGATAGTGAGGCTACAGGGTTTTGTGGCTTCGTGTTGCATCGGGTTGAGGGCTCAAGGACTTTGGATTTACAGGTTCAGGGTTTTACGCGGTTGAATCGGGCAGTGGATGTGTAAGGATGCTTTCCCATCCGAGGTTGTCCAGAGGATACCAGGAGGGTTTCTATCGGGGTTACTGCAAGACCTACGACAAGAAAGAGTATGGCGATCATTAGAAAGTTCTGTAAGGGTTCAGTAGAAGACACTGCACATCCTATCACTCAAACTTAGACGGCCTGTTCATGTCAACATCCTTTTGATAGGGACCCGCTGATCAATTAACCCGTTTTAAAACATGCTAACCCTCAGCCCCGAAACCCGGAACCCTCATCTTGAACGTGTTTAAAGCTTGAGGTTGAGAAATCTGAGAGTTTGGACGTCTACATGATTTTTTCCAGATTTAGCAGGTCGGGCTTTCAGGGCTTAATCCTGTCCTGCAAAGGTTTTAGGGTTACGTGAGTTGTTGTCACGGTTGATAAGAGTCTTTTTTCCTTCCTCCATCTTCATTGGTCATATGCGCAGCTGATCGCCTAGAAACCAGCACCCGGATTTCGAGTCTGTCATTTGAGCAGCTCCAATCCCAAGAACCCCAGACCCCCAAAAGGATCTAAAAAATAGATCCCCTAAGGGGGTTCCTATAAAGTACCCTTTAGTAGTTAGGGTCCCTAATTAGGGGATCTATTTTTTAGATCCTTTAGGGGGTCTGGGACTGTGGAATCTCATAGTAGAATAGATTGCGTGCTAACGCGAAGTGTCTCTGCTAGGGAGGGTCGCATTCAAACGAGGTGCCTTCAACTGATCCGGTTTGCCTAGGTCGCATGCTGACGTCCACTCTTACTGCTCGGACCCTCTGTCAGGTTAGAAACCCCTACATTTGAAGCGATATAACGGTCTCGAGCTTTGGGTTCAAGTTGTTGACGGAGTATTTTGACGACGCTTGTTGCACGGGACTGTGGCGAGAGCACGATTTCGGCACTGTGGCGGGAGCGCGATTTAGCGGAAGCCGAAGTGTATGGTTGTGCACACTTGGAAAGAGAAGTGGAAGATCTATACGACGGGCAGCGGGGAGCAACAACGCTCGGAAGCATGAGCAAGTGGTTCGAACCACCGCGTATGGCACATTACCTTCAAGAACTCTGGTTTGGCCCCCCAAAACAGTTGCGATGCAGTCGGGACATGCTTCTGCAAATCACGACGGATTAAGCGCGTTGCTTTAGAGCTGGAACCTTACAAAGCGCATCCCTGTTGGGTCCAGGCTTGGAGACGCATCTCCTAGCATTAGGTAAGGATCCTCTACAATCAACAAATACGCCGTGCTTGAAGATACATGGATTGTTTCACAGTGGCCTCAAATTCGGAAGTCGAAGTCATGGTCCTTACAGAACTACGCTATTATTCAGGATCCGTATCATGGCTCCCTCAAGACGTAGGGCTTGGGATATTCCGGAGTTGGGGAGCGGTCGCGATTCAAGACACCAGTTCAATATCCTATGAATGCTGCCATCGCCATTTTCCACAGGTTGGGTGCGAAGCGGCCTGAACTGGGCCCATCTTGCCAGAAACCGTACCAAAAGCATCGCACGGACCGGCCTTGGCAAGTTTCCGAAGTGAAACATGATATTTCCAAACCATTAGTGTCTCTGCTAAAGAGGCTCGTTTTCGAATCATGAACCGTAAACTCATCCAACGCAAAATGGCGGCTTCTTCGAAGATTGAAGCGGCAAGTAGGGGATCTCGAGCCCCGGATAAAACGGATAGAACAGCACTACACGCAGTTGCACTGCAACTTATGAAGTTGAAGAACACTACTTCTATACTTACTCATCACACCTAAAACACGTTTAGCAACCTACGAACCTTCAAGAGCTCCCCACAGCAACCCAGAAAGAGGAGATGTTTCTTCGGATCCTCTTTCAGCTCGAGATCTGGCCCACCTGGGCGCGGAACGACGCCCATCTGCATTTGAGGGCGGAGCGGGGGTTTCTGCGGTGAAAGATTTAGGACTTATAGGGTTGGGGTTTAGGGTTTAGGGTAAAGGGTTTAGGGTTTAGAGAAACGGCGTTGAAGGGTTTTGGAAGGCTCAGGGTTTCGCGAAGGCTGGGTTTGTCTCTGCAGTCTCCCTGTGTTTCTTGCCTTCTCCTGTAAACTGTTTAGGGTTTGAGGTTTCAAGATTCTGGGTTTTCGGATGTGGGATTGTGGGAACCCTAAACTCTGCGGAATAAAAAGGTTATGTTCACAGAAACCTCAGCCTGATCTCCTGGCACCAGGACATGGACTTCTTGCAGCACTTGTGCGGCCTGGCGGACGTTACGGGCAGAGTCGAACTTGAATTACTTGGTTTGGAACACGGCTTTGCGCAATTAATGCTCAGCCGGACTTGTCTGGAACGCCCAGCCTTTCGAATTCGCGGCTTCGGACTCTCGTGATTCGAGAATTCCGGAACGTCTTGGCGTGTCTTATCCTTGTTGTTCACGTTTCGCTTATGTTCTCTTGCTTGCTGCATCGTCTTCCTTCGTACCATACTGCAAGACTAGTTTCAGCAGCAGCAACAGTGATGCTTCGGGCTTGGGGTTTCCAACAGCCCAAGTTTTGGAGCGTAGGGCAAAGTTGCTGAGGGCTGAGGCTGCGGGATTTCAGGCCCCACACGGTCCGTTTCCACCGGCCTCGGGGCTACGGCGAATAAAAAGAACTACAGCTAGCTTCCACTTCAAAGTCAGCCTATGGCTGTCGATGAATCTTCAGTCTGCTTGCTGCTATGATTCAATGAACCCAAGGCCATTCCGAGATTCCCTGACGTCATGTCCCTTACAACGAATCCTGTTAGAGTCTAAGCAAGGATCCCGAACTTGTATGTAGAAATCGAAACATGTCGTGGCAACATCTCCTGATTGTCCCCACTTGTACAAAAACTAAGATACCCTGAAGTCCTGCTTGTACTAGGAAGGTCTGTGTGTTGCTTGTGCTACCCCAGGGCGACAAAGTACAACTAGATGATGGGCATTCTTAATGTAGAGGCCTCAATAATTACCAATACTGTTTTGGGGGTTCCTTTTTTTGTTATAGTATAACATACCCCAAAACCCTATTCTAATTATTAAGGCCCCTACATTATTTCCGTTCTTTTGATTGCTCCCACTCTCATGAGTCTGAGACTTGATGATCATACTTGTATTACACCCTATGCCCTAGACCGCTAAACCTTGGAGCACCGAGGTCACCACACCATGTCCGAGCATACATCGAGACCCGGGCAGGCATTCCGGGAGTTGAAAGTTTCACCAAATTTAGGTGTTCAGGTTTCGGTTAACCCAGACCCCCAAAAGGATCTAAAAAATAGATCCCCTAAGGGGGTTCCTATAAAGTACCCTTTAGTAGTTAGGGTCCCTAATTAGGGGGAGGAGGTGCCAGGTTCAGGTCTCACTGCTGTCTCTTCGAAATCTTCTCTTCCTGGACGTCCTTACCATGGCCAGTCAGAAAACTAAGATACCTCGAGGCAAGCTGAATTCCAATGCAAATTGCGAGCAGACGTGGCGACAGCGCGCGAAGTCCAAAGCACCAAACGCACGAACCCGCACAATGTGAACGGCACTGCGGCGTCAGCAAAAGTTCAGATATTTCCAGGCCGCACTGAGAAGCCCGGAAAGGTACGGTGTCGCGACCCTCGAGTGATGCGACGTCCGAACTGCGAGCCCCCGGCCCCCAGTAGCGAAGCAGAATTCACAGAGCACAAGCGTGTTGGCTTTCCCGAGGACACCGGAAAACTTGCGGTTTCAGGTTCAGGAACGCCAGGGCATCAGTCGGACCACCAGATTCAATCCCCAGACCCCCAAAAGGATCTAAAAAATAGATCCCCTAATTAGGGACCCTAACTACTAAAGGGTACTTTATAGGAACCCTCTTAGGGGATCTATTTTTTAGATCCTTTTGGGGGTCTGG